GTCATGAGGGGGGGGGGGGGGGGAGAGTGGCAATTTAGAAAGGACTGTCATATCTGCAATCAGTTAGCTCAAAAGCTACTCAAATTAAATCAAAGAGTCGAGAGGGAGAGAGTAGCCGAATACAGTAGGACAAAACAGATAGGAGATTAATAGGTGGGGAAGGTGTTGGGAGGGTACCGAAAAAAAAGGTAATAAGGGGAGCGGTGAAAATACTGGCATCGTCAAGATCTACTCCGCAAACAAACGGATTTATAGGTCTTGAGTCATAATAAACAGCATGTTGCCCTCCTTCTAGACTCAAAATCGAGAGAGTTGAACACTCCTGCCAGAGCGCTAGCCTTCCACCTCAAACACTAACGACAAACTTCCGCAGTGAGGTGAAATGGAGACTAGGTGTTAATGCGCTCTGGTAGGAATTAACCTCAGCAGCCGGTCACCTTAGGCGATTGACCTGAACTCTTGGTCACATGCATTGTTGTGAAGACCTGAAAGGAAAAAGATGGCCTACTTGAAAATCTGTACAAGAAACATCGTCAATAAGGCCATCAAGTGCGTCGATCTGGGGAAAAAACTGAGTAACACCCATAAATTCTAGGACTCTCCTAGTTCTGAATACTTCAAGTCGCTCAATAGGCAAATAGAAGCAAACTGTAATTCATCAGAATAGCACCTTTAATGGTAAGAGTGCCATTAATTTATCTCCGTGGGGATCAGTGAGGAGAGAGAGGAACTGGCTGGAGGTGACTGTCTGGCGTAAGCTGTTAACCTTACCTCCCACAACATCAACAAAGATCCAAATAATGGCAAAACAATGACAACCAACAGGTTCTCAAAAATGAGATGAAGATTTCAAAAAAAAAGAAAGAAAATGAAAATGCAATGAGGGCCAATTTTAAACGAATTCAGACCACCTACCTCCGAACAAGTAGGATGGATACCGATTGTTCGATCGAAGTCCTCCTTTCTGGCGCCCATTCGCATCGCGATTGCGTAACCCTGAGTTATTTCACCTGCATTCGGACCAAAAACGTGGAAACCCACCACGCGATTATCCTAGTGAGGGTGGGGTGGGGGGAGACAAAAAAGGATTCAATCAGATGGTTAAATTTAATAAAAAAGAACCAGTGCAAAGTGCTCAAACTCCAAGATGATAAAACAGACACAAACCACACGCTTTCATTCACCATCACACCAAATAGAGCTAGATTTCTAAACAAGATTGAAATTTTCATGCTTAAATGGACTCAGGGGGGTATGAAAGTGGCTCAATGTTTGAAAAGTGACACCTTCAAAGGCAGCCTCCCACGCAAAATATACATTTGAATTGAGTTTTAACTGAACACTTTGATTAAAGAGATCTAATGAAAATGGAGATTTATACTAAATGAATGAAAAGCACACAGTTAAAAGCGCCAACCACTTTAATCAATGCGCGAGTTCGATTCAATAAGAACTGAAAGGGTAATGACCAATCTCCAAGTTAAACTCCCGACCAAGAATGAAAAACCAATTAATGAAACAACCGTTCCTGTGTGGTCACATTAAATGAACTTCCTTTAACCAGCTCCTATTATTTAATGCTAAAGTTTTGGAGGCACATATATTTGGTGTCGAGTAATAAATCGAAAGAAAGTATTTCAGGAAAAAAACCAGGGTTTGATTACGATGAAAAGGACCCTACAAACATTTTTCCACTAAGCGACAAATGATAAATAAGGCAAAGCCCCCCCCCCCCGGTGTTATGCTAGGCAAGCGCATGCACACGACAAATAATCGTGAAGTATTCTTGTCACGGAAAGCAGGAATACAACAACACGACTAGAGTGCAAACAATCGAAAGCCAACTCCAAAAGGTGCGTAGTATTCATAGGTCGTTATCCTCATTCATTGGCCAGAACTTCAACTTACGTCTGCCCTATTGACGATGAGTTTGGCATAGCAGGCATTATCTTGTCGATGCGGGATGGTCCATTCGAGGGGCTGGAAGTGAGAATGATAGACCTCAATCGCTTCCTTCCCGAACATCTCTAGAGCCACCTCCTCGGAATAACCAATACAACCGTATTCCAGTGGAGTAAACACTGTTGTCGGCACATTATTGTAGTCGGTCTAAAAGGACAGACAAGTTGTGAAAAAACAACACAAACACACGTGATGAGAGAGAGAGAGGGAAAAAGTGCATACCAGAACATCATCCGCATCGTAGATTCGACGAGCAAGATTTTTCCCCGCTTCTATAGCAAGAGGCGTGAGTTGGAAACCGACATTGTTCACATCACCAATGGCGTAGATGTTAGGCACATTAGTACGTTCCTCACCGTCGACAATGATACGACTATTCCTGAAGGTGCAAGTAAAATATCCATTAACTAACATCATTATATTATCGCCTACTGCATGTGACAATTCCAGAAACCTGCAATGTAGACACTGACCCATAGATTTGTTCTTTCTAACAACCACATGATGACTAGCATAGAAAAAAACGACAACAAAAAAACCCGTTTCTCAGTACTGGGAAGAATTGTGATATCCTCTTAAACTAAATAAGGCAATTAGTTCTAAATATCATAGGCAAGTTAGATTGGAGTTACTTTCATTTACTTAAAATTGAAAAGGTAGGTCCTCAGAACGGTCTCCATACTGTTGTAGACACATAGATGAATTAATTTGTCAATTCAAAAAATGTATTGCGTTAAATTCGAACATTAAATATATGATTAGGGAGTAAGTTATAACAATTGAGACATCTCTCTATTTTCAATTTTAATGCGCCCATTTTCGAAGAGGCAGAAACCACTTCACCGATATAACGAAAAAATAACATTTTTTGCTTTAAATTTCGCAAGAATATAGATTATCACTCGATTATAACTCCTCCTCCAAGGACACCAAACTCGATCACTTGTTCAGCCAATTGCACACTTCATAGAACGACTTCCAGGCTAACAAAAAGCTCAAACGACAAATGTTGACAGATAAAAGAAATCATAGAAATTGAAGGCTATCATCATTTAGACTGCCACAAATCACGGAGAAGATCGATAAGTCAATATGCAAACATTTGACTTACGAGTCAACCTTGACGTTGACATTATTGAGGCCAATGTTGGTAGTGCAGGGATCCCGACCAACAGCAAAAATAACCTATAAGAAGTAGAGGAGAAGAAAAAACCC